CTACAAAAAAACAGTGCCATTTAATCATTCATTCATTCACTCATTCATTATGTGATTATGCTCTTGAGTGGTTTTGCTAGTGGCTGTGTTAACTTGTGTGGTTCTATTCACACTTTCAGCTGACATTCCACACTTCTCTGTGCTGATATACATATGTATTTTTTTATTTTTATTTTTATTTTTTATTTTTTGAGACAGAGTCTCTGTTGCCCAGGCAGGAGTGCAATGGAGTGATCTTGGCTCACTGCAACCTCTGCCTCCTGGGTTCAGGGGATTCTCCTGCCTTAGCCTCTGAAGTAGCAAGGACTACAGGGGACTGCCACCAGGTCCAGCTAATTTTTTTGGTATTTTTAGTAGAGACGGGGTTTCACCATGTTGGTCAGGCTGGCCCTGAACTCCTAACCTCAAGTGACCTGCCTGCCTCAGTCTCTCATAATGCTAGGATTACAGGCATAAGCCACTGCACCTGGCCAGAACTTTAAAACTCAGCAGGTTAAAGATCACACTTAGGCCTGTGCACAGTGGCTCATGCCTGTAATCGCTGCATTTTGGGAGGCTGAGGCAGGCGGATCACCTGAGGTCAGGAGTTTGAGACCAGCCTGGCCAACATGATGAAACCCCGTCTCTACTAAAAATACAAAAAATTAGCCAGGTGTGGTGGCGGGCACCTGTAATCCCAGCTACTCAGGAGGCTAAGGCAGGAGAATCGCTTGAATCCGGGAGGCAGAGGTTGCAGTGAGCCGAGATCACACCACTGCACTCCAGCCTGGGCAATAAGAGCGAAACTCTGTCTCAAAATAAATAAATAAATAAATCACACTCAGTATTTCCTCCCTACCTTCTCCCTTGTTCTCACAGCACGATGATATGTGCATGCTCACACACACACTTGAACTCCATGGCTTGCCTAATGACTCATCAGCCGTCTAGTCTCTTCTTCAACTCCCCTTGTCACTCCCCGTCGCGCCCCATCTGATAGGTCCATTTTTCTCAAAACACTCCTTCCCTTGACTTCTGTGACACCACCCTGTTTAATACATATCTCTAAATGAGACTTTTTACTTTTTGTGCTTTGGAAAAATCTACGAAACAAATCTTGAGATATATTTGCTCAGCATTGGAGACCTAGAAATGTCTGCAGATGAATGTTAAATTTGCACAGCCATGCCTCTTTGATCACTTTCCAAAGGCTCCTCCATTAGCCCACAATACTCCTTTGACTCCCTGAAATTCTAACTCCAACTTCCCCACTTCATCTCCTTAATTGCAATAACGCCTCAATAGCTGAGGTTACTGGTCCGTGGAAGGTGCTCTAACAGTAGATTGAAGGCAAACTCTAATTTAAAAATACCTCATTTCAAACAGTGGGTGTTTGCGAAAGGGGGCTGCAGCTCTTATGAGGAGGGATTGCTATTAGCAGGCCTCTGTTCCAGGTCTGAGACACCCAGAGAATGACGGTTGCTATCTTTTCATAAGTAAATGTCCACACGCACTTAGACACCCTAGAGAATTCACTTGGCCAGCACCCAGGGAGAGAGGAAGTGAGAGAACTGAAAATTCACTGAGCAGGAGTCCTTTCTCACTCAATGGATGTAACTAGCCAAGAGGAAATAGTGATCTCAGGACAAGAACCCTGAAGTTACCACCCCATCTACAGAGCTGTGTGTGAGGACATTCTCAGAGTTGGGAAGGCTGGTTGAGATCTGAAGGCTTCTGGGCAGCAAAAAGGCAGTGCTCTCCAGAGGCTGGGGTTCCCTCAGATCATATCTGATCAAACCCAAAGAACCTACTCATATTAATCGGATGCATGGAAGCTACTTGAGTTAATTGAATACACAGATCAACAATCCACTCTAAATTTACAAGGGTGGATTATTATGCTTTTCTAGTGTCCAGAATACACATTTTTACTATCCAAAATACCACATATTACTTGGAGTCAACATTCCTTGGAAGCTGACCCGGACATTAGAAGATTCTGGGAGAACTGAACAATTCCCAAGGTGAATTCCTTGGAACAATGGATCCAGAAGATGCTTCATGAGAAAGAGTGTTCTGTGGCCAAAGAAAGTTGGCAAACATCCCACACTGTGGTGTCATTCTAGAGAGTCCCAATATATGGTATAATAATAAAGACTCCTTAAAGTCCTGCCATAAAAATCAGATTAACATTAGCATTTCCCTAACATATTTTATCACTGTAACTCATTAGTGATTGTTTAGCAAGACTGCATCCTAAAACACAACTCGGTGAATCCTGCTCTGTACACACACTGCATGGAGCGTGCCTCTGGGCAGGTCCGCTGTGCTGCGGCAGAATGACAGACTACTTTTAGGCCTCCATTTCCTCACCTACAAAATGCAATGAATACTACTGTTGTGGGAATGGCTGAGATACTATCTGTAAAGTCATTTTATAATGTGCTACAAAAATGTTATCTGCTTTCTTCAGAGGCATTACAGTCCTGAGGGTGTACTTCTTGCTGTGCAACTCCTCCAAATGCCTTGACAAAGGGATACTTTTGCTCATTCATTCATTCATTCAACACCCCCTCCTCTACTGGTAGGTCTTAAGAGCTATGGCCTGGTTTTCAACCCCAGGAGGCTTACAGACAGTGGGCAAGTGAGATCCACTGCATTGCTTTAAGTGGTACACACACACACACGGAATTCTGGTGGTGGTGAGGGGGTGTCTTACCAGGGAAAGCAGGACGGGGTCAGGGAAATCTTTCTTGCTGAAACTATTAGGATTCTTGAAGGATCATTAGAAAGGTTGGATGTACAAGGGGAGTTGGGCACAAGGTCAAAACACTGTAACACGGAGAGTATGTGAAGAATGGGCCTCCCATTAATGGGTCACATGAGCATGGACCTCCCAGGGTAGCATACCCTGTGTTTCATCTGTGATACCTGATTCATCTGTGTCCTCCAAGCAGAGGAAGAGGATTTAGCTAAGCGAGGAGGTTCTTTCTGGAAAGTGGAAGTCCTGAAGTGGGTAGTGGCCCTTGACTTTGGATAAGGTATGTGGCAGGGCACCTTGGGTGGGGATAGGAGTGCTGCTGTGAAGTTAACTTTAAATAAGCACATGCCATAGCCATCCTGGGAGTCAAGCTCCCTCCCGCCTGCCCTACACTAGAGGTCAAGTGTGGGCTATTTCAGTTTCCTCCTCTGCTCTGATGAACTGTCTGAAGGAGAATGTTTCCAGACAAGAGACGTCTTGACAGCAGATTGGTTTTCCCCATGTCTCCAGCCTCCAACTATTGAAAGTCTCCAAACCCAAAAGCTCCTGTCAACAGCCTACTTCCCAAGTTTCAAAAGCAAGGGCGCTTCGCTGTCCCAGGACCCTACCAATCCCTAGCTTGAGATGCTCTCTCCAGAGGTGCCAAAGCATGGGAGTGCACACTGTGGGTATTCCAGAGGCAATATTAGAACCTGAGGCAAAAAGGAAAATTAACACCTCTATATCCACGTATGACAACATCCTCCCATATCTGAATTAGGTAAAAAGTTCATAAAAGCTCTGCAGTCAGTGAACATGACTACATCTGAAGCCAGAGTTGCTCAATCTGTTGCATGCCACTGTCAACTCTCAAACCACCAGGCAAGGGAACAGACAAATGGGGAGGCTGGGGGGCGGGGGGGGGAGACTGGATATGACTGTTCTCATTGAACAATAAAGCAGTGTTTTTTGTTTTGTTTTGTTTTGAGAGACAGTTTCACTCTGTCACCCAGGCTGAGTGGAGTGGCACAAGGTCGGCTCACTGCAACCTCTGCCTCCTGGGTTCAAATGATTCTCCTACCTCAGCCTCCCGAGTAGCTGGGACCACAGGCACGTGTCACCATACCCAGCTAATTTTTGTATTTTTAGTGCAAAAATTGTATTTCACCATGTTGGCCAGACTGGTCTTGAACTACTGACCTCAAGTGATCTGCCCACCTCAGCCTCCCTAAGTGCTAGGATTACAGGTGTGAGCCACTGCACCCGGCCTATGAAGCAGGGTTCTAACAACACCCACCTTTATTTAAAATGTTGATTTTTGCTTATCATGAATTTTTTACATTCAATTTGGTTTTGTTAAAAAGATCGTATTAAAATACTATTTATCTTAATGATGGAGTGCTGCCCTGTGTGTTTCTTCTTTCCCAGTAAACCCTTTGCACTCCTAGCAAGTATTTCTTTTTGCTTCGGTATTTACAGTCCTTTTGGTCGAAGAGTACTCTGATGTTTCCTTACTGATGACACCGTGTTCCTAAGAAATCCCAATGTGCCCAAAACCGCGCAAGGAAGTGCGGCTACGCTGCGGAATTAGGAAAACTCCAGGGATTTGAGAGCTCTGAGAAGAGAGGCGCCTCTCAGGGCCCAGGGGACCGATCTTGCCCTGTATTTCTTGGCAACATATCACAGGCTTTAAAGCTGAACTTCTGCAAATCCTGCTGTCCCCGCTCCGTCGAGGGGCGCGCCACCGCCGGTGGGTGGACGCGGAGCCCGTGGGAGCCCAGGCCAAGGGTGGAGGCCAAGCCCAGAAGGGGGCGGGGAGGCCTCAAAGTGGGAAAGTGGCCCCGTCCCTTCCCGGCAGGAATCCGGGGCTCCTCCTCCGCCCGCTGTGCAGCCATCAATCACCACAACAGGCCAAGTGCCCCCTGCCCGGACACAACACAACAACCCTCCTGCTTTTCCACCCGGGGGAGGAAATCTCCGGTCGGAGCATCTGCCCCGCACACTGGCTGGACGCACCAGTGGGGTCCGCGCTGGAGATCAAAGCTGTGCGACACCGGGTCTAGCCCGCGCGCTCAGGCGCAGGGAGCACTTGATACCCCACAGGCAGTCCTGCAGGTAGAACTCCACAAAGGTCCCTACCAAACTCCGTCCCTTGCACACGCACGCACACCCGCACCTCGAGCCATGGTGCCCTCCAGCTGCCCCTCACCCCAGCCCCGCACAGGTCAGCTGAGGACACCCGGTGACCCTGCCGGGACCAGCGGCCACCTCGCGCTCCGGAATGTCACCCTGCCCCTTGTCCCCACTCCCTGATCCTCCTCCCCGCTTCCGCCCCACGATCCCCGAGGACGCGCTCTGGCTGTCTTCCCCAAGTCCCCTCCGGAGTGGGGAGAGGGTGCGCGCAGTAGCACCCGCGTCTGGAACCCCAGAGAGCCCCGCCCGTGCCCGGAGCCTCTCCGGGCTCTGGGTGCGGGCACAGGGGGTGGGGTCTCCGCTGCCACCGCCCCTTACCTCGCGCGGGCCCTCCCCGCAGGTCCCGGAGGCGGGGGCGACCGGTGGCCCCAAAGATGAGCGCGGGGCTGGGTTTCACCGCCCGGGAGGAGCAAGAGGAGGAGGAGGAAGAGGAGGAAGGGGGAGAAAGGAGGGGAGGGGAGGGGAGAGGAGAGGAAAGAGGAGGAGGGGAGGGAAGGGCTTTGTGTTTGCCTCGGGCCGTCCCTCGGCAGTAGGGAGCCATCCCCCTCCCCCAGCCACCTTCCAGAGCTCGCAGAGGGGATGGGGCGAGGGTGATCGGATCGGAGGCAGCGACCAAGGCGCCTGCGCGACCCCAGGTCCGGCCCATCCCTCCACTCCCTCTTACCGCAAGCCCCAGCCCCTCCTGACAACCAGCCGCTACGCTTACCCGGTTACAAGGAACCCACGCTGCAACCAGGAAAAACTGCCATCAGAAAGTTTATCTAAGCCGGAGCAAACTTGGCTGGACCGGCCCCTGACCCGCCTTGACGCCGCCGCCCCCGTCTTCTGCGCTCCCCGGCCAGGCGAGGACCAGAGTTTTGTTGTCGGAGATTCTTGCCTTTCTTGTTTTAGCACAAACGCGCACGCACCCCTTTCCCATAACGAGCCCCTCCGCCCAACTACAGATCCCGGGATCTGTCGCTGGGGCTGGAAAGGCCCCACTCCAGAGGCCTGAGCTGGCTGCGGCTCTTGGTCCCGGGGCAGGTTCTCCAGGGTTGGACACGCTCTGGACGCCTGGGCGGGTTGTTTTGCTTCGGCCTCGCTGGCCGGGGGCCCGCCCACCCCGCCTGGAACGCGGTTTGGATCGGTGCTGGGAGCCCTCTGTAACCCCACAGAAGGCCTCGCAGGCAGGCGGGGACGCGAGAGCCGCGGGGCCGGTTCCCCGCCAGCATCCAGCCCTTTCGGAATCAGGCGCGTCCCTGGTGATTCGCTGGGTTTTCCCACCTCCCACGAGGACCTCACCTTTGGGAATTAATTGCTGACAGTGTTAGAGTTACAAAGTAGTCAGTGTCACAGAGGGAACCTACGGTGTCAGAGAGAGAGTTGTTACCGGCAGAAACAGAACAGCGAAGCGGAAAGAAAACAAACCTTATTTCTGTTCTTGTTCCACTTCAGACAGTAGCAGAGGAGACTTGGATGTCATTGGTGTTGCTTTTCGTGATTCCTGCCTTCTAAAATCCCAAGACTTATTTATCGTTTATCATCAGCTCAGATCCCGGGAAAACAGCCCCCTGCACTTCTGTTTCTGCTCCAAGACACCCATTAAATAAATAATTGAACACCTGCTGGTGCCAGGCGAAGTTCTAATGCTTGGGATGTGTCGATGAACAAAGCGAAAGTCTCCCTCACGTGGGGGAGCTGAAGTCCTGCGGGGAAGGGGTGGGAGACAGCGGGTAAACCGTGGCCATCCCTAAGTCAATTATTTGGGGTGTTGGAAGAAGTTGGTGTCAGGCAAAACAAGAAAAAGAATATGGGGGCCCAGAGTGCTTGTGTCAGGAGCAGGTCACAGAATTAAATAGGTCACCGGTGTGGTCAGGGTGGTCCTCGGGGAAGGTGGGATTTGAGCCTTAAGGGTTTGAGCAGAGGATGACCTGATCTGTTATTGCTGAGAACTCAGTCTGATGCTGTTTGGAGAGCCCACTGTCCAGGTAGAGAGGTGGAAATAAGCAAGGAGGCGATTGAAATAGTTCAGGCTAGAGATGGTGGCTGGTAGCAGGCTCAGAGCAGGGGTGGTGGAGAGAGGTAGTTGGATTCTTACTTATTTTGAAGGTCGAGCTGACAGCAATTCCTAAGAGGTTGGATACATGGGCAAAAGGGAAAGGTGGACAGAAAGGTAGACCTGGCCCCATGTCCCTCTCTTCTCTTCCTTTCTCAGCCGCAGAGTAACCCAGTTTTATAGACAAAGGGTGCCAGGTAAATGCTGAAGACATCTGACCTCTGCTCCTTTCTTCCTGTCCAGTTTTCCTTTCTCCCCTTCCACCCACTCTCTTGAAAACATCCTTCCTCTGCCCACATTGCACCACGGATGGTCCCAGAGGTTCAGTCTCTTCCAGAACTTGGGGGCCATTTTGCTCTGCCCTTCCCCAGAAAAACATCTTTTACTGTAGAAATGAATTTGGGGGTTATTTATTCAAAACGATTTATTGAGTACCTACTATGTGCCAAGCACTGTCATAGGCACTGGAGCTACAGCAATGAACTAAACAGAAAAATCCCCGTGTTCTCTGCGAACTCACAATCTAATGCGGAGGGAGAGACAATAAACCAGACAAACAAGGTGAACGTGTAGTATTCAAGCCCTAGAGAAAAGCTAAACCAGGAAGAGGAAGAGAGAGTGCTGGGGAGGCTGCACTGTAAAACAGCCATTCATCAAAGAAAACCGTGAGGACACATGGACTTATCTCATTTTTGACAGACTTGACCTCCCATCCCAGGGTCCCAAGAGACTTGAGTGGCTGCTTCAGTCAGCTGCAGAGAGCACAAGTGCTCGTGGGGCACTTTTGCAAGCTTGGGGACCGGCTAGCCAAGAAAATGTCATTTCTAATGAAGTTATTTGCCCTTTAAAGTAAACCAAGCTGTGTTGGTTCTGGAAGCATTGCCCAGAGCTGGCAACTCAGCAATTTGTTTCTCTCCTCTGTTGAGCAGGGCAGGTAGAGGTGAGTGTCATGTGTAAATGATTTGAAAAGTGCAATTTTTTACTCTGGGGTCTGAGCTATAAAATAATCATCATAATCATGATGGCAATTCTTGTTTATTGGTGGCTGCTGATACTGGGTAACGTCACCCTGCTCAAGCCCCATAGCATAGCCATCCCAGAAGATAGTAGAGAATATCAGTAGAAACTTAACTATTTCCATGTATTAGAAATTACCTAAACAGTGTTTATATAACTCTGCATCTCCCTCTCCAAAGATTTGGTTCTCAAAAGAGAGGAGGTTCTAAAAAGGAAGGGACATTGAAAAGGATACATTCTTTCTATTTTTTAATTTACATCTTTGTTTCAGAATCTAAAGGAGTCAGTGATTATCCCTAAAGTGTGGGATTATTGGGGCTTTCACATTTTTTTTTTTTTCTTTTTTCTTTTGGAGGCAGTCTTTCTCAGTCACCCAGGCTGGAGTGCAGTGGTACAATTTTTGCTCATTGCAACATCCACCACCCAGGCTTAAGCGATCCTCTTACCTCAGCCTCCCAAGTAGCTGGGACTACAGGTAAGCACCAACATGGCTGGCTAATTTTTGTATTTTTCATAGAGACAGGGTTTTATCATACTGCCCAGGCTGGTCTCAAAATCCTGGACTCGAGTAATCCACCTCCTTTGACCTCCTGCAGTGTTGGGATTACAGGCGTGAGCCACTGTGCCTGGCATGGGCCCTTAACTTTTCAAGTTGCATGTTTATGAATTATTTAAATATTTAAATATTATAAGAATCCTTAGTTAATCCGAAGAAAAAGCATTACCGGAAAGGGATCCCGATCCAGGTCCCAAGAGAGGGCCCTTGGCTCTCACCAAGAAAGAATTGGAGGCAAATCCATAGAGTAAAATGAAAGCAAAGTGTATTAGTAGCTGCCTGGGCTACTCAGCTGCTTATACTTATTGTTACTTCCTGGTTATATGCTAAACAAGGGGTGGATTATTCATGAGTTTTCCTGGAAAGCGGTAGGCAGGCAATTCCTGGAAGTGAGGGTTCCTCCCCTTTTTAGTTCATATAGGATAGTTTCCAGATGTTGCCATGGCATCTGTAAACTTTAATGGGGCTAGTGAGAGTGTCTTTTTAGCATACTAATGTATTATAATTAGCATATAATGAGCCATGAGGACAACCAGAGGTCACTTTCATCCCCATCTTAGTTTTGGTGGGATCTGGCCTGCTTCCTTAGCACATGCTATTTTATCAGCAAGGTCTTTGTGACCTGTATCTTCTGCTGACCTCCTGTCTCATCCTGTGACTAAGAATGCCTTAACCGGCCAGGCGCGGTGGCTGACGCCTGTAATCCCAGCACTTTGGGAGGCCGAGGCGGGTGGATCATGAGGTCAGGAGATCGAGACCATCCTGGCTAACATGGTGAAACACCGTCTCTACTAAAAATACAAAAAAAAAAAAAAAAGTTAGCCGGGCGTGGTGGCGGGCGCCTGTAGTCCCAGCTACTCGGGAGGCTGAGGCAGGAGAATGGCGGGAACCTGGGAGGCAGAGCTTGCAGTGAGCCGAGATCACGCCGCGGCACTCCAGCCTGGGAGACTCTCAGCAAAAAAAAAAGAATGCCTTAACCTCCTGGGCATGTCACCCAATAGTTCTCAGCCTTATTTTACCCATCCCGTATTCAAGATGGAGTCGCTCTGGCGAGAGAATTGAAAGCACAAGTGTGAAGGCAATCTTATCTATAATTACTTAAGATTTTGATAACCTCTTTGACTTTAGTATTTAAATCACTTAAAAAATTTCCAAGTGTTGAGATTTCTTTGTTGCTGCTCTTTAAATTTTTGTTATTAGTTTCCAGGTTTATTGCATTGTGGTGAAGAAATGTAGCTTGTTCAATTTCTGCTTTTTTTTTTTTTTTGAAATTAATTGGGGCTTTCTTTGTGATCTAGTGTATGATCAATTTTGAAAAAAGATTTCCATAGTTATCTGAACAGAAGGCATATTAACCAAGCCCCATAATCTAGTTCTAGGCTGAGCGTATAGTAGTTGTTAAAAAAAATTGTTTATCAGTGAACATGAGCAATAATTAAATGTTCATTCATCTTGCATATTTATTCTAAGTCTTTACATCATTTACTTTATTATTTCATCTTCCAGTCTTCTAGACTATACTCTGCCTTCTCCCCTACCCATCTTTGTGAAGAAAATGGATTTAGGATGGATGTATTAACATCTTCCATTTCAATCAGAATTCTGACATTTTTCTTTGACTTTCAACTGCTCTTATTCCAGCATTTTCATGCTGTGTTACACAGTACAGAAATATGTATATGTACTATCACGTCACCACGGGCTACACAGTTATTGGTGTAATAAAACTCCTTTACCCCATTCAATGTGTTTCCCTTAATCTTTTCCTTGACTGAAATTCATATCATGATCCCTGCTTTCTTTGTCTTTGCATCCACATAGTACATTTTTGTCCATCCTTTGTTTTAAGTCTCTCTGCAGCATTTTATTTTGGAGGAGTCCATTTAAAGCAACATATACCATGATTGGATTTTGTTTTTAAACCCAACTAATGAATTTGGTTTAATTTCTGCCATATTGTTTTATGCTTTTGGGTTTTATGAAACCCTGCCAATTCCTAAGTTCAATGTTTTTGGTTAAACTGACTGTGCTCTTATTTCTTTATATATTCTCCAGTCATTTGGAAAGTATTTATTGTTTTAACCATAGTGCTTCTTTTTTTTTTTTATTTGAGATGGAGTCTCGCTCTGTTACCAGGCTGGTGTGGAGTGGAGTGGTGTGATCTTGGCTCACTGCAACCTCCACCTCCACCTCCTGGGTTCAACATTTCTCCAGCCTCAGCCTCCCGATTAGCTGGGAGTGCAGGTGCTCACCACCATGCCCAGCTAATTTTTGTATTTTTAGTAGAGTCGGGGTTTCACTATGTTGGCCAGGCTGGTCTCAATCTCTTGACCTCGTGAGCCACCTGCCTCAGCCTCCCAAAGTGCTGGGATTACAGGTGTGAGCCACTGAGCCTGGCCTCATTTCTTTTTTCAATATAGAACTTTTTATTTTCTGTGGGGTGGCAGGCACTGTCCTTGGTACTGTGGATATGTGATGAAACAGATCAAATCTTTCCTTCAATGTACTTATCATCTAACGGGTGGCATACAATAAACACATGAACAATTAAATATGAAGATATGCAGGGCATGATGCATACCATGAATAAAACAAAGAGAATAGTGTGAGGAAGAGTGGCTGGGGGCTGACTTAATTTGGGCTATCAGAGAAGACTTCCCTGAGAAGGTTATGCTTAAGCTGAGATAAATGACAACAAGGATGCAGACAGAGAGTACCTGAGAAATTTTCCAGTCTAGGCAGAAGGAACAGCCAGAGACAAGGCCTTAAGGTGGGTGTCAGGGAATACGAAGAAGCCCACTGGGGCTGGAGCTAGAGGCTTAGGGAGAGTCCTCGGGGAGGGTTCCAGCAAGGAATGGCTCAGTCAGCTTTGTAGGTTTAAAAATGGCCACAAAGAAGGCTGTGGGGAGAAAGGATAGCAGGGAGGAGATGAGCAATGAATGGTAGAAGGAGACAAAAGAGGTAGACTTGCAGTCCCCAGGCAAGGGATGGTAG